CATGATTGCAGTCTTCAAGTATCTGAAGGGCTGTCATGTAGAAGATGGAGCAGATCTATTCTCTCTTGCTCCGGATTGCAAGACTAGATCTAATGGGTGGAAATTACAAGGGAGTCGATACCGGCTAAATATCAGGAGAAACGTCCTAACTGTAAGAGTGGTTGAGCCGTGGAACAGTCTGCCTCGGGAGGTGGTGGGTGCTCCTTCGCTGGACATTTTCAAGCGGAGGCTGGACGGCCATCTCTTGGGTATGTTGTAGCTTTCGGCTATGCTCCTGCAGAGGGCAGATGACCTGCAAGGTCCCTTCCAACTCTAACATTCTATGATTCTATGATTTATATCACTTGGTAAGTGGCTCTGAGCTCCCAAGGTTGGAGAAGAGCAGGGTCAATAGTAGAGGGTATTTGTCCTGCTCTTCTCCAGCCTTGGGAGCTCAAAGGCTGATGGTAAGTCTGTCCGGGGGAGGGGCCCCCCGCTCTTCGGCCACCCTGCAGCGCTCTTGAGCCCTGGCTCCCACAAAGGGGGATTTCTCCAAGTGAACTTCTTAAATCACCCAACCAAGTGCCTTTGAGTGTGGAGGAGGAGGAGGAGATTGCATTTATACCCCTTGCCCTTCACTACCCAAAGGAGTCTCAGAGCGGCTTACAAACTCCTTTCCCTTCCCCTCCCCACGACAGACCCTTCCAACTCCCCACGACAGACAGACACCCTGTGAGGCAGGTGGGGCTGAGAGAGCTCTGACAGAGACGGCTCTTTTTCAAGGACAGCTGTGGCAGAACTATGGCTTGCCCAAGGTCATCCAGCCAGGTGCAAGTGGAGGAGTGGGGAATCCCCCCATAAAAGTGCCAGTTGCAACCAGCTGCTACCCACCAGGTGAGTCTTTTCAAGGTTTGCCCACCACCAGCAGCGAAGAAGCTCCTGACCCAGCCCTGGGAGATCATCTAACAAACACCTGCATCGGGTCTTCATGGGGCCCAAAAGCTGCTCGAGCCACACGAAGGGGATTCCGGCATTCAGACCCAGCCCCGGGAGGTCAGGAGCTGACCATCGGCTTCCACGGGGGTTGCCTAAAGACCGGGGGGGCGGTGCCACTACTTCCACATGGCTCCATCTACCAGACCCCTGGATTTGAACATGAGGACCTAGGCAGGGCAGAGTGCAGGGACAGAAGCTCCTCAGATGTGTGCCGAGGCCTGATTTACTCGCGTGCATGCGCGCGCACACTCACTCTCTCTCTCTCTCACGCAGGGCAGATACCACAATCCACATTTTATCGGTGCCCCTGTAGCGAGGTAAGTTTTGGAGACCGATCCACTTATACCAGCGAGACAATCTAACTCACAGATCTGAGCCCGGCCAGGCATCAGGGGAAAGACGAAGGTCCTCTCCGCACGAGGCCTTAAGTCTTGGCTCAACCCTATCCCCAGATTTACATTCTACACGACACGCAAGTTCACCCCTGTCGTTATCTCGGGGTTATTTTTTGTTTCCACATCACACTGAGGTCACCCCCGGTTTCGCCGCACACTTGTCCCGGGATAAACGGATGCTGTTATAACCAGGGATGGAGGCAAGGAGTATTGTGTCACGAGCTGAACTCTGATAAAAGCAGGGACGAGACCCCAGGGCGGAAAGGACCTAAAGGAAGAGATGGGCACCAGACGAGGAGAGAGCTGTGACAGACCCAGCTGGCAAAAGACCAAAGGCCAGGCAGGAGTGAGGGGCTGCTGCAGGCGCATCTCCACCAGCTGGGCGGGGCAGTTCACACGGCAGACAGGATGCCGACTTAAAGGGAGAGACTGCAGGAGTCAGAGACGGTTCGGCGAGTAGATAAAATGGGAACCACTCCTTAGAGAGGGTGGGCACGCCAATCTCCCTTGTGGGAGGGCGTTAGCTGACGGTCGGACGTCCTGGTCAAGGCTTGTAAGGCGAAACAGCTTCTCGGCTATGAAAAG